ACAATAATAGTATTTTGCTGTTGTCGTACTTCAGATRTTTATTCATGGCGTCTGTTCCTTACCTGAGAGAGACGAGATATGAATTCATGTGCCCCAGCATCCTTTGCAGCCTGTACAATCTCCTTCAACGTACAATGACCCTGCTTGCCGTATGATATGTTTTCAGCAATCGTTGTCGCGAAGAACTCTGGATGCTTATGGACAACTCCAAGTTGTCTTCGTAGCCATCGCCTGTCCAGCGTTCGTATGTCGTAGCCGTCTAAACGAACCTGAAATGAAGTAATTTTAGCCTATGGAATTTATAGAAATACAAAGACATCTGGAGGAGAAACGGCAATGGATTCTAGATTCCAAGACTCAGCATGCATCTTATGTTGCTGCCGTTCCCCACATGACTTTCAATATACTTCTGAACCTTTTACGTCATTACTTGTTTTTCAATGCATTGTGGGATCAGTTTCTGGAGAAAACAAAAGAAATCTGGCATGTTCTGTCCCAAACATAACCTACAATGCATTGTGTATACGGTACATGACGTAAAAGCTTCAGAGGTATATTAAAAGTCAGTAAAGAAAAGCTACTTCGAAGTCTAAAGATTTTGGACATGTCCTAATTGTATTCAAATGGTAACAATGATAGTGGCATGACAAATGATTATGAAATGCTTCTACGTGTTGTAACATGGGAATAGTTAGAATATAGAATAGTAGATTATTTGAATCGCTGCGCTACATAGCAGGTGATTTTGTCTTTTCTTTCAAGAGACCTCCAAATTTCCAAGTGCAGTTCAACAGACATTGACATGACTATGTAGGAAGAAGTATAATGAGAAAACAGAAAGATGTCAAGCTTACCCTGCCTGCTTCAGGCTCATAGATTCCCTGCAATAACTTGATGACAGTACTTCTACCACAGCCCTTTTCACCAAGCAAAGCAATAGTCTGTCCTGGCTCAGCCGATATGTCGACGGATWTGAGAATCTGACAAAGTGAAAAAAACTAGGATAACAATGCTAAACACACTCTAATACTGTACTAAAGATATGAGTACCGCATGGCACTATGATAGACACGATATAGAAATCAGATCGATCTGCTCCCAGTCTAGCCTTGTAGCTCAGCTGGTAGAGCATCGGTAGTACAAATCCGAAGGTCATGGGTTCGAATCCCAGCGAGATAGGAAATTAATTTTTCCGAATTTATTCCTAAGGGTCTTTTTCCCGGAATTGCCTCCTTGTAAGCACTATAGCTTTCTTTCATTTCAATATCGTGTCATACACCCTAATACTCATTGAGTATGGATCTTTAGCAGCTAAGGRAGTGACAATATGGGGCTAATCGAAAAGAAACATTTTGTTCAATTATAGGCGATTTGCATTATGCCGTCATTTACTACAACTACCAGAATGCTTTGCCAACTTTCTTTTGTAATGCAATTGGTGCCAATTGTTTTATTAATCTCCAAGGGGATTAAAAATCTGAATAGCAATGAAAATGCGCAAGGCTCTCTGGTAGTTGTAGTAAAGTTACGTCAATGCCAATGGCCTATTAATAAGCTTTTATCATTCTACATGTTCTTGTTATGTACAGAGCATAAAGCTTTGAACTTATCGCATTTTAGTTTTTTCGTAGTTTTTGGAGGGTGAGGTGGATTCTGATGATAAAATCAATAATAGAACTATGTTTGTAGAGATTTGGTTACATCGTACTACGTGCTCTTGCTAAAATCACATGACGAAGCTGTTTTCAAAACCAACGCGGGCTTGTATGACGCAAAAAAAATACATGCGCGAACATTTTGTCAATAATCATCAGTTCATGATTGATGGATCGTAACTAGGACTGTTATCCCAGGACGCATGACTCACCTGATACTCAGGTCGTGACGGATAATGGAAATACACGTCGAAAACATCAATTTTACCCATGACTGTTTCTAGTTGATTTGTAACCATGTCATTTGCAGCGTTGACGTCCTATTACAACAAATAAAACATAATTATTTCAAAAAGAGATTTCGGATGAAATGGTGAATGAAAATTGCCCTATTTCATTATGACGTCAYATCAAAACATTCTGTTGCTTTAAAACCAATAATTATGGTCGCCCAGACATCAAATAAAACCTATATGAGCAATCTGTGATACATGATGTATATCAAAACACGATACATTGAAGTTGTCATTAATGGATCCAAATTTCAACTGCCTTTGAGCATCTTTCCCCGTTGTGACGTCATAATGAAATAACGCAATTGTACAAAAAGGAGCCATAGTTTCTGCCTTAAATTGCATTGCGTTTTTATATGAGTTTTGTATGAATGCTTGACTGAATATCCTCAATGTAGCCCTTTTCGCCTCTTGAAGTATTTCCTCACACAATTAAACTTTTATACAATATGGGTTTCGTGATTCTCACCTCTTGTGTAAATCCAAGGATTGAGTCTAAAGAACTTTTAGAATCACCAACATTGTCTATTTGTTCTGCAGAACCAACTATTTTCATCATTCCTCCAATAATCGCCATAAACACCTGTTTATAATTACATATAGTTCGATGAGCTCCTGTAAAATGCTTTTAAAAGTAAAGTATTTGACAGTGGCCCTTCCTTAGAAGACAAATTCTTTAAAGTACACATGACACCATTAGAAATTCATTCTCATCCAAAAGAGAACATTCTGTTGAGTACATCTGCGAAGAAAGAAATTGATTTTAAATTGTATTTTTATATAAGTTATGGGCAATTGAAACTTAGAAAATGCAAATGAAGTGAAGTCTACTAAGGAATGATTTAATATACAAAATCATGAAAGAGGACGTTATTCTTTTTGTTACACTAGAAAAAGCATTTTCAGCTCTCAATTATTACTACGATTGATGATTTAAGCTCTTCAACCAAGAATAGCATAGCGCAAACAATCTAAAAAGTCTGGAACAATTCCTTAGTTGACGTCACTTCATTTGCATTTTTCAATTTTCAAATGTCTATAACTCAGAAAATACAATTCAAAATTTCTTCACAGAAGTACTTGGCAGCGTGTTACCTTTCGGATAAAAGTGTTTTTCTAAAAGATGTCTTGTGCACTTTAAAATATGGCTTAATTTGCCAAATCATTAAAGTAACACATTTTTTGAATAGTCCAACAGTTTGTTTGGAGTGAATCCAAAGCAATACTTGTGTAATCYTGCAGCTAATCGCCTGTGAATTSWCTGTCTTRAAACCGGAAACAAWTCYCCTCCCCCCTMATGATACCCATGTACACGCCCCCCGTTTTCGGTTAATGGTATTAGTTCAAACTGAACAAGGCAACCATTATTGTTGCGGATTTAAAGCATACAGATGTATTTTGTCCGTCCAGACGCTGGCCTCTGAGATGTTATAAAAGGTATAGGGACAGAAGAGTATGAAATCAGAAAGATAGGATTACTAACCGTGAGCAGTGAGCCAGGGCTTATATTTCCATTAGCAAGCATAATTGTACTGTACCTAGATATATGCACACATGATAAGTATACAGCTATTYTCGTATTATTGATATAACCTAGACGACGCCAAGCATCTACAATTATGTACAAGTACAAGTATTTACCAAAATCCTAAGCCAAGAAAAGTGAAAGCAACAAACATGTTTGTGCCTTTTTCAAATCCTTTCACGAATCCTTTCAGTCTGTTGAGACGACCTCCCTCGTTTACCTGTTCTTCGTACCTGGAAATGGACGATCACGTTTCTAAATACGTAATTTGTTAAAATGTAAAACCGTAGAAGTTTCCAAAAAAAAACGTCAATAAAAGCATCCTATTATTTATTTCTTTGTCAATCATMTTTTTTAACCTTTAAGTCAAAGAACGATACATACTTATGCTGTTCTACAATCTCTCCTGCAAAATCCACAACGGTTTTCATTGACGCYAGACCTTTTCCAGCAAGGATTCCTGCCTGGTCTTTGAGTTCCTTCCTCTTGTTTCTAATATACTTGTCAACCTGAAGAGAAATGAAAAAAAAAAATCGGGAATAATTTGAAGAAGCCTGACAACTGAAGCTGAATTAWTACAATATATCTTACCTTGATGACTAGAGCYTCGACGATGCCCATGAAAGGCGCAGCCAAGAGCATGATTAACGTTAGTTTCCAGCTTTTAATCAAGCTGATTACAATTCCAGACAAACAACTAGACACGTTTTGAATTATAAACGCAACTTGYCCACCAAATCCACCACGCAATGCATCGATATCATCACTTCTTAGTTGYTGCGTCTCGCTGCAATATAAAAAAATCAATTAATATAGATCATATGCATAGGTTGGTAYGGTTCAAGTCTGATCTTTCCATTCTCAGAATGTACAGATAAAATTTCCAAATCAACATCAATAGTCATATAAAGACTATATACCATTTTCATGCTTTAAAAAGCCAATTAATCTGCTAGCGGTGTAATTAATATTAAGTTTTATTTTGAGATTACATGCTGATTAATGCTGACCGATTACACATGGGTGTTATGGAGAGGATTGAYTGRTTGATAAGCYGATAGATTGATGTGTTGCTTTATTGGCTGGTTAATTAGCCAATTGCTTGATTCATTACATACCTAATATCAGAAAAATTGCTTCCTTTACCCTGTTTACCCAGAGACCAGTGACTTCCTTCATGGATTTGTGTATCAAGTACACCTGGATCCTCGTCAAACTTACTATTATTAGCCATCATATCCAAGTCCCTAGCACTTCTCTCTGATGCTATATTCCAGCACACGATTTGTCCATAAGCACAAATAAGGGTGACTAATGCAGCGTAAACGTAATACCAAACGTACTTTCTCATACGTACTTCCATCTCAATATCATTGAAAACACACCTTTCACTTCCATTACGTACTAAAATCGTTATATTACTAACACCAATGGCCAAAGCATTACTAATATTACGATGCGTAACATTAATACCAGTTACGTTAGGATGGGGGACATTGATACTTGTTACGTTAGGATGCGTGATATTGACACCAGTAACGTTAGCAATTGTAACATAAATACGAGTAACGTTTGGATGCGTAACATTGATACCAGTTACGTTAGGATGCGTAACATTGATACCAGTAACGTTTGGATGTGTGACATTGGTTCCAGTAATGTTTGGATTTGTAACATTGACTCCAGTAATGTTAGGATGTGTAACATTGGTTCCAGTAACGTTTGGATGCGTAAAATTGACTCCAGTAACGTTTGGATGCGTAACATTAATACCAGTTACATTAAGATGCGTAACACTAATACCAGCTACGTTTGGATGCGTAACATTGACTCCAGTAACGTTAGGATGCGTAACATTGGTTCCAGAAATGTTAGGATGCGTAAAATTGATACCAGTAATGTTTGGATGCGTAACATTGATACCAGTAACGTTTGGATGCGTAACATTAATACCAGTAACGTTTGGATGCGTAACATTAATACCAGATACGTTTGGATGCGTAACATTAATAATAGTTACGTTTGGATGCGTAACATTGACTCCAGTAACGTTTGGATGCGTAAAATTGACTACAGTAACGTTTGGATGCGTAACATT